CACACACACACACACACACACACACACACACACACACACACAAACACAGAGTAAGGCCCCAGACACTGAGAAGCATGCAGCCAGGTCCAAATGTGTGTATGGGCATTGGGCCAAAGTGTGTGTTTGTGTGTGTGTGTGTGTGTGTGTGTGCCTTGATGGAAAGCCAAAGAGTGATAGGTATAGAGGTTACAGACGTAAACAAAGAGAGGAAAGCTTTAAAGGCCGAAAAGTGCACACAGGGTGGTTTGGAGGGTCAGTTTTTAACATTTTAATAAAATTGCCAAGAAAAAACAAAGAAGTCAATCGAGGCTAAGCTCAAAGAAGTAAAGTGAGAGTAGGGAGAGAGAGAAATGTGCGAGTCAAAAGTAAGTTGCAGTTTGTGAGACAAGAGAGGAGAGAAGTAAAAGAGAAAAGTGAGGGGAATAAATTGAAAGGACCACAGAAAGTAACAGTATGAAAAGATGGATAGTGTGTTTGTGACATAAATAAGGAAAGGAGAGTAGAGGGAAACAATGAAGGAACAAAAAGAGAAAGGTCACACAAGATAAATAATGTGAATTAAAAAATAAATAAATAAGGGATTAAGAAAGAGACCAATGTGAGAAGAAGAATGGATGTCTGAGTTTTTAAAAAAATGTGAGGGGGGTGTGAAAGTACAGGAAAGCCTCCCCCAGCGCCCACCTGTCTAGCTGTAATGGGATCCAAATGTTGAAAGGCCTGGAAGTTACATCGCTTGGAGAGTCTAAGGGATGAGATCTTGGGCTCCAAATCAGACCACCGATTACATGGTAGAGTGGTAGCAAGTCACGTGACCGTGGTTTGAATACTATTTGAAAGTTTTTGTTTCAAACTTCGATTTGTTTTCACTCTGATAACTCAGCGAAAATACTTGGCAGTGTTTAGGCACTAAAAGCCATTTGGTTAAATTAAGGGAAGGATTGTGGTTTGAGTTAAAATTTACCCTTTCAAAAAATTTACCATGAAGATGACACTTATTTTGTGACTCTCACTCAGACTCCTGTAAAGTATAAGGACAATAGTACGTTTATGTCCTTTGTACTTGTCGTATAAGTGAGTCTGTTGTGTTTATTTTTTATTTTTATTTTTTACCACACAGAAGAAGTTTGTTACAGTCGCAGCAAGTGGCTGCCCCTCCCTGAGCCTGGTTCTGGGAGATGTTTCTAACAGTTAAGTACTGTTGAGTTTTTCCGTCCCACTGTCGCCAAATGCTCACTTATAAGGGGTCATCTTCTTTTTGGGATTATCTCTGTATTATTGTATATGTAATCATTTACAAAGCACTTTTCATCAGTATATGATTAGACAGTATGCATATATAGCTATCTACAAGTATACACACACAGTACACACATTAAACAATGTAAACTTCATAAACCTAAACAACTAACTGCATTTTCGCACTGACATTTACACCCTGTGATTAACACCACTCACTGTGGTCTCTTTATAATTGTTTGTTTCTTACTTAAACTATTCCAGAATTTTACACCACATAGAGATAAAGGAGAATATGTTCTGTTCATCTGAAAATTGTGAATCTTTTTTAATTTCATAATGGTTACTGGCAACAACAGTTGAAAGAAGTATAACACGAATGACAATTTGGCCATTAGGTCTCCACTTGTCCATGTCTACAATACAATATAATCTGGAATTGAGTGTGATGTGGAAATCTTGCACATGAAATCCTAATAGAACAGTGCACATTTAAAAATATTCTACATTGGTTTAACAATTGAATCAAGCTAATTACATATTAAAGTGTCGCATTATCTGGACACATAAAGTAGATTTCTAGCTTTCTATATACCTATTTTTTTTTTTTTACCCTTGTTGGTCATAAGTATAATGAACAGCAGATTCTCTGCAGAACTGAGCAGACAGAAAGAAAAGAGAAAAGCCAAGAAACTCTGTTTAAAGCAGGGGTCTCAAATTCAAAAGAGCTGGGGGCCACTGTTGGAAACTGCTATCTCATTGGAGAGCCATTCTGGTGTTAAAGTAAACACAAACAGACAAACAAATAAAAGACCCACAAATATTTTCAAAAATGTAGGTTTTTTAATCCGCTCTGTCACAGTGTTTGCTGACAGGCCAATGCTGTTGAATAACCTCTTTTTTTCTGGACATAGAATATCAGCAACTCAATCATGCTGTCCTTCAGAAACTGCACTTCAGTGAATGGCTTTCCCACTTTGGCAATTAATTCACCAAATTAAATAATTCCTAACCACACTGATGATAAATTACCAAAGAAATAGCTGTCTTAATTGTGGAGTAACTTACAGGTCCAAATTGCGTTATATTTTACAACAATTCCATAAAACCCCTGGTTTAGAGGTTAACACAACAATGTCAGCACAAATGATGCAACACATGCTATAAAGAGACATAAATTATATTTCATAACCTCTCTATGCAGATGAAATAAGGAGACCAGGTTGGAAAATACAGTAAATTCGAGTCACACCCCTCCAGGTCTTACTGTTGTTTCCCACATGAACAAGTCTCCCCCAGGTGGAGCGCCCTCAAGTACCCCACCGAGGGTCTCCATGAAGGCTGGGTACTCTGAACTATCCTTTGGTGCACAGTTCTCACACCCAAAGGTGAGGGAACAAACCCTCTCATCCACCAGGAAAAACTTCAAAATACAGGCAGCAAACCAAAGGGATACTACGATACCCACCCCAGCCCAGCGGCTCTCACCAAGGGCAGCTCCAGACTGAGACAGAGTCCAGCCCCTCTCCAGGAGACAGCTTCTGGAGCCGAAACGATGCGTTGAGGTGAGCACGACTATATCTAGTCAGTACCTCTCAACCTCTGGCACTAGCTCAGATTTCTTCCCCACCCAACCCCTACGGTGCCTCCTATGGGTGGTGGGTCTACAGGAGGGTGGGCCCATGTCCCCTTTTCAGGCTGTGACCAGAGGGGCCCCATGGACTAAGCCCCAGGCCAACAGGTGCTCACCCTCGGGAACCCCCGGTGACCCTGTCTAGGGCAAGGTGATCTGTTCCGAAATTGTGAGTCAAACAGTATTTCCCTCACTTCCAGATACAGACAGACAAAATGGTGATGGCTAAACAACCAGACATTGTAATAGTGGACAAACAGGAAGACGGCCGTAGTGATAGACGTAGCGATACCAAATGACAGGAAGAAGGAAGACAAGAAGCTGGAGAAGTACCAAGGGGGAAAGAGGGTAACTTTTTAATACATGAAAATCCAAGCCATATTAATGATAATTATTAATGACAAGTTGGCTACTTGATCATGGCATACATAGATAAGGACCAAGATCATACAGTCAGGGAAAATGTATTTGAACCCCGGCTGATTTGTACGTTTGCCCACTAACAAGGAAATGATGAGTCTATAATTTCAACGTTTATTTGAACAATGAGAGACAGAACACTAACAAAAAAAAAATTAAAAAATTAATTCGCATTTTCATGAATGAAATAAGTAGAATAGACAGAAAAGGTGACAACAGTTGGTGTGATTATTCGCAAATGGAAGAACCATAAAATAACCACCAATCTTTCAGTGATAATGAGAATGGTGTGGAACCAGCGCAGAACTAATCGGGAGGAGCTTGGAGAGAAATCAGCTGGGCCCCAAATAATTTTTTCGCTGACCATATACATATACATATATATCATTTAACGTTTGAACATTCACTGTGACTCTACAGTGACTTCACTTACATTTTTTATTCACTTTTTTATTGTGGACTACAAACGCCACCATCCACACAATACTGACAAATAGACTGTTAAACTGGGTAGCTCATACTCATATAGCCTAATTTCACAAATCACAGATTTTCACAGTCTCATGTTTAAAGGGAAAAACTAAACACATTTAACATTTCTTCTGTTTTTGGTTGCAGTGACTTTCATGCTATTACTTCATACAGTATTCCATGAGTTTTATAATCGCCTGAAGATTTGCAAATTATATTACTAGACTAAAAGTTCTTCTCATATTTTTAGCACAGAGTTCAGATCTGCTCTGAACTTTGCGAGGACATCTCCAAATTAGTATATTTCCAAGTGCTGTTATTTTCACCTGTGTAGCTTTTCCTGTGCTCTAAAGCTGCTGTCATTTGATCACGACATGCACCAGAGACTGTCCCGCTGCAAATGATCAGACAACCTTATGAGTAATTGAGTATTCAAAGCACTAAAAAATGAGTCATAACACTAGATATGATATTTATTTGATATGGAAATGTTTATACATATGCATCACAGCTTATTAATTATTCATATTGTCTTGTTTTTTTCTGCTTGTCTGTAATATACATTATGTATTCTCTCCCTTCGACAGACACATCTTTTGAAATGGGAAAAAAAGAGGTAAAAAAAGAAGAAAAGGAAGGATCAGTTGGCATCTCTCACTTTGACTACAAAAGAGTGAATGAGGGAAAAACTTCATTATATTGGCGAGTGACAGGAAATGTGAAACACAGTGACAGAGGAAGAGAATGAGGACCTTTTTTCCCTCCCCACCTCAGTTTCATGTCTCTCTCGCTGCAAAACAGAAAAAAAAAGAAACTCTGTGGACCATACGAACTACAACACACACACATGCACTGACCCCATATCTCTCATGAACAGTGCCACCGACCATCAACTGTCATTTTTATTCAGTGTCGGACTCACTCCGTAATCACCCTGACAGACAATGCACTGCCACCATGTTGCTACAGTGCCGTAAGTGAAGAAACAGCAAGTTAATGCCTTTATCACCGGTGTCACTGTTCTTCCAGCATTTAAACATTAAAAACTTATATTGCATGGTTATTAACTTATTTTGACAATGATTAATTTGCATAATGTCACATTTACTGTCCCTTTATTAAAGTCACAGCGGCATAGAACGACCACATGATTCACTTTGGATGATTTCTTACAGTTTTCCAGAAGCATGTCCAGGACTCAGACGTCAGACAGTTCTGAAGCACAATCATTTCAAACATTTTCTGAATTTTTATAGTTGTATAAATTGGATAGTGCACCTATTTCTGTTCCACCATATTTTATTAGGGAATGTTTTGATTTTTGCACATTCGTTTCAGCTAGAAAGGACACTGATATTAAACATTTTATGAAAAACTATATCATCATTCATGAGATTATTACTTCTACTACACTAAAAAATCAAGCTGCTGCTTAGATATTAATATATTTCTGATTTATCAACAACACATAGCGTAAAACGTTCTAATGATAGCTCATTGTTTACTAAAAACTTTGATCTTCACATACAATTTGTGTATAATATAACACATAAATGGGGAGTATTTAGATAAATACAGTAGACTAAATTTAAACAGTGCATTTAAAGAGAAATTAACACATTTCAGTGTTTTAGTTTATATGTTTAAATATGTTCTCTTCCATTTGATTGCATGAGAATTTCTTTTGATTATATACTACAATTGTGTGAGTACAAACAGTTCCACACTAGTGTACAAAGACTTGTAGGACTGTTGTTCATTTTATGGTTTTGTGTTATGTTACAGCTACACTGTGTGACTGAACTCCAGCTGTTTTCTAAGTTCATTGTCAGGATTGTTGCTGAAATTTGACTTACAAGCAGGGTTGCTTGTAAGTCAAATTTCAGCAACAACCCATGTAGTTGCGCAGTGTATGGGGCACCGCACTGCAACAATAAAAAAAAAAAAGAAAGTAAAGACTTTCGATGTTTTTATTTATTTTTTAATTAGATCTTTTTCTTTTACATTAACAGAACTCGTGTAAACAATTTGCATTTAATTTACAATTAATTCCTATTTTGTTTCAGCTTTTTAAAATTTGAAATGTGACACTTTTATGGCATGCTTAATATTTAAAGGTACAGTGTTTAAAATCTCACCACTAGATGTCAGTAGATTGCAGATTACAGTCGACTGAATTCTGTTTACTATAAAATTCGGTGTGCAAATGTAATCAAACAGTTCATCAGAAGAAAAATACGATTTTTAGGACACTCAAGTCTAACATTAGATGGCATAACATTAGCTTATAGATAGTAGGGTCACATGTTTAATCTGGTGCCAATTAGTAACTGCGACAATATCAGGAATAAACGAACATGTGTACGCACATTTTCGTGTGTTAGAGCCCTGACTTCAATTCAAGAGATGAGGCTTGAGGTAAGGAGGTAGATATGTAGTCTTTCCCTCGTGTCTACCTCATCCCTTCTCAGATGATAAGACACTGGTACAATCTTTCATATCTTGAGTCTCCACAGCTTACAAGTCCCCTTCTCGTCCACCTTTAGCATTCTAAGTATGTGGCTAGCCTGTAGCCTCTAAAATACTTTATCAGGATTCATCAGTTTCGTAGAAGATGTAATTGCATACTAGTTAATGTACATTCTTTTTCAGCATTCTTTTTTTCTATTAAATAGCCTCCAGAAATGACTATCAAACTGATGAGATTAAAGTTTTAATTTTATTTTTTGTTTTTTTTTTCAACTTAAAGTAAAGTAAACTCATTGTGTTGTACTGTATATGCTGTATGTTTAGTATTATGTAGCCCTGTTTGTTTTACGTAACTATTAGATCTGATTGCTTCTTTTACTTTTTGCAGAATCACTTTTCAAGACCTGAATTAGCTCTATGTACAGCAAAACTGAATAAACCCAGGGTTTAAAAGCATCTAATTATTACGTTATATGTTATAATATTTGTTAAAAAATCATTTTAGAATTCCACCTGTGCTTAATTAATTTTTTTTTTTTTGATGAACGATGCAAAAAAGGACAATGACTTGTTTAAAAAAAAATCTTAATCAAATTATTCATGCAGAATTTGATCACTGAAGATAGACAATTCAAGATTCAATTCCATTGTTCATTAATCATCTTTCATCCTCATGACTGTAAGCTTTTTTTTTTTTTGAGAGCTCCAGTAGCGCCATCATTCCTGTTCTTAGTGTTTTACATATTTCAGCCACTGCATATGTCTTTTCAATCTATCAGCAAGGATCCAAAATATTCATTTGCTTTTTCACATGATTGTGTTCTCCTTGTTACTGTACAGTCATGGAAACTGACAGTTAAGGCCGCTGTTTTCTGCATAAAGGCACTGTGCAGTTTTTCTGACTGGGGTTTACTAGCTGAGGTCATCGTGGGGTTGTATGTGTGTGAGTGTGTGAGTGTGTGAGGGGGTTGGGGGGTTGGACTGGGCACTGTCTTTTTATTTATTTTTGCTTCATTTCTGGCAGTAGGCTGCCATGCTAGTGTTATCGGGTCCCACAGGGAAATGTGTTCAGCATCAGTCACTGTGTGTTTGAGTATTTTTTTATTTGTTTATTTTTTATTTTTTGTTGTATGCGGCAATGTGTGCTTGTGTGTACCAACAGCACAGTAATCTGTAGGTGGGTCATCATTCTTAATGCAGTCTGTGTCATCAGTTCCCGTGACAACAGGGGGAATGATGCAGCCGATACATATGAAACAGGGTGCCATGCATAAACATGGACGCTGCAAGAGGAGGCGGGTGAGGGCAGCACGGGGGCGAGGTTATATGGGGGATGTGTGTGTGTGTTTGTGTGTGTGTGCACGTGTATCTGGTCTCTCTCTCTATTCCTGTTTATTATTCATCAGCCCTCCCTCAGTGTGCTGTCACTAGCTCCTCCTCCTGATATGAGTTTATATGTATGTGTGTGTGTGTGTGTGTGTGTGTGTGTGACGGATGGTGACAGCGTCAGCGGATGGGGGATCAAGATTAAGATCAAACACAGCTCAACGTCACACTCCGTCAGGTTTACTGGACGCGTATGGCCACACACACACATGCGCGCGCGCACACACACACACACACACACACACGGTCTTTAAAGGTTTGAGTCTCCCATCCTCCCAAATGAAAAAAGTATTTCTCAAAGGTGACAATAATGGCATAAATAAAACAACATACTCAAATGTGGGGGGGGAAACACACTGCAACGTAAAAGAAATTATTACACAACAACTATTGTTGCTGGATGAACGTTGAGTTGAAAGTAAAGTCCAGTAGCTAAAAATGGGTCCTGACAGTACTTTTCTCCAGAAATAACCACCATAATCACAAGAAGATTAGCAGTTTAAATCTGGAACTTTATATATAGCGGCATAACCTGGAGGGCAATACTACAGAACAGAGCAGACATCAATGATATGATGCTGACTGAGTCATGTATACCTTGACAGGCGGAGCTGGGGTGGAGGTGTGTTGTAAAGTGGTTTGCAGTAACTGTAGGCCTTTAAATTACTCTGATTATCACATCTTTTATAAGATTTGCTAATTGGAAACACAAAGGTATCAGCACAGCCTTCCAGTGATGTGGACAGGCTCTGAGATCAGTTGATATGCCAGGATTTCTACCGTGCTTGATTCTGTGGCTTTTCTCAGTTTTTCTTTTCAATCTTCTTCCATCCACAGGAACACTAAATGTATCACTTTGACCATACTTTAGGCACAGTATAGTCAAAGGTAGTTTAGCTTCTAGTTATTAGTTTTGACATCATAGTTCAAGTACAAAAAGACTTTGTCATGGCCACATATGACATCATGTCACATTGTTTGGAAAGTTGAGCACCATTTTCTCACTCAGTCCATGCAACTGATGATCTGTGTTCTCTCATACAAGTTCACGTTCAGTGAGGTCACAGAACGGAGACATTCAGATGGAAACACATCCTAAGTAATAATTCTCTGTTTTTTAAATTCAATTCAATTCAATTCAATTTTATTTATATAGCGCCAAATCACAACA